TAGGAGCAAAGTTTAACACCACGCTACATAAGGAGACCCTGGACCAGATGACCAATGGCCTGGCCACAGGGGGAGGTTCTAAGGGGCGCCTTGAAAGAGATGAACGGGAAGCGAATTACAGAGCTTAGATCCAAGGCAGATAAAACTTGGCTGTCAACTGTGGGTTTCTGTACAAAACTTTGATTAGGCCTTTGTGTGTGCTGTTCTGGTCACCGCGTTGTAGGAAGAATGTGATAACACTGGATAAAGTGTAGAGGGAAGTCATCAGGATGTTGTCTGAGGTGGAGCAATTTCTCTATGAAGAGAGGCTGGATAAACTCGGGTTGTTCTCTGAAGAGCAGAGAAGGTTGAGGGGTGTGCCTACTGGAGGTGTGTAAGATTATGAGGGGCATGGACAGAGTGGATAGAAAGCAGCTGTTTCTCTTAGTTGAAGGGTCAGTAACAAAGGGCATAATTTTAAAGTGAAAGATGGGATGTTTAGAGGGGATTTGACAAAAACAAAATTCACCCAGAGGGTGGTGGGAATCTGAAATGTCTTGCCTAGGAGAGTAGTCGAGGCGGGAAACCTCAAATCTTTAAAAAGTATGTGGATGAACGTGTCATTACCATTCAAGGCTACAGGCCAAGTGCTGGAAAGTGGGACTATTGTAGGCTTAGTTTGTCAGTACATCTATTACAGGTATATTTATATGATTGCAGACAAAGGGAGAGGCAAGACCATGAAGACAACAAGCGCGAGGGTGAAGGAAAAGAGGCTTAAAAAGGAGACAGTGACAGAGGAAAGTAAAAATTAGAGTGAGGCATTGAGGAGGGGAAAAAGTATGTTGTGGAAAAGCAGAATGGAAAGTTAAAATTGTTGTGTCTGATACATTGGATCAAATGTAACACAGCACGAGTTAATCCAAATTCACATGCTGTTCTTAAACAATATAGTCACTGCTGTTACATCACAAGACCCACATGAGATCAGAGAAGGTGAATCTGACGGTGAGAGATGGACAGAAATTAGAAATGGAGAGGGTGGGCAGGTGTCATGGAAGACAGAATGCAAGGAAGAGTGGTAAAAGAGAAACTGATGGGAGACTGGTTGGGCCCAACACAAGAAAGAACCTATAAACTTGAAAGGAGAAGTTACTTCCAGGAGTTTCCTATTAGAACCCTTTCCTCAGTGACGTTATAGTGCAGCAGTGACTACATATTCTGATATAACAAGGTGTAGAGCTGGATGAACACAGCAGGCCAAGCAGCATCATAGGAGCAGGAAGGCTGACGTTTTGGGCCTAGACCCTTCATCAGTTAGGTGCTAAATAAATGCAGGTTCTTTCTCTCATTTCATCTCATTCCTGATCGTGCATTTGTTGTTGCTCTCAGCACCAGTGGAAGAGATGACCATGTATAACTGTGTCTGTTCTTCAAAGATGGGATTGTGTATGAGACATGTATTCAGTGCACAAACCAATGAAAAAGAGGGATTCTACTTGGTTTTTGTGAACAAGCTTATTTTATCTCTTAACAAAATAATTGACCAAGTGGAGCTGTGACATGTTGGAGAATCATAGGGACATAGAAGCAGCAGTAGGGCATTCAAGCCCTTGTAGAATGGTGCAATGCAGAAGTTAGGCCTATTGTGCCTATACTGTTCTATCATTTCAGCAGTTCCTCCCTCGACTCCATAAGTTGTTAACACTGCCTAATAAATGGTGTTCAGTTCCACAGACTGAGGAGACCTTGAGTTCATTGTCAGTGATTGTTTTGGGTTTAGGTTCATTGTAGAATTAGCTAATCTCAGGGTGGAGAGGCTAAATATTTGCAACTGACTAATGTCATTGAAATACTTAAATGACGTATAGGTTTAATGTGTGAGCTTGCTGGGCGGAGTGAGGACCATTCTTGCCCTCAAAGATAGTAGCGGTAGGCCATTGGTGAATAAGCACAAGGAGCTATTCGCTATGTCTCTGTGTGTGTGTGGCTGAACCATGGTTAGTGACTCCAGCAGTGCAGCACACCTCTTGGTATGACACCAACATGTCAGCCTAAATGTCCAGTGCATACACAGTGGACCAAATGGTCTCCTCCTGTGATGTCAAGCTCAAGTCTTTGGAGTGTGACTGTGGGTGAACTCTCAATTCCAGATACAAGGCAAGAGTTCACCTCATTCCTTCATGGGATGTGAGTGTCACTGGCAAGACCACTATTCGTTGCCCATCCCTAATTGCCCTCAAATTGAGTGGTTTGTTAGGCAATTTCAAAGGGTAGTTATGGTCAACCACACGTTTGCCTTCTGGACCAAGTCCAACAGACTAGTGACCTCCAGAGAGAAAGTGATTTAAGTGGATCTCATTAAAATCTGCTTATCTCCATTGCAGCATTATCTCCCTTGCAGCGTTAGCTCCATGGTGTAAGTGATGGCACAGAGCTCCTTATGATCATTGTGTTACGTTCATAGGTGCTTGACTAACACCGAGGTCAAAGGATGTTGGGGAGCAGGCAGGAAAGTCCAGTACAGTTGTGGCCACAGTCAGATCAGCCGTGATCTTAATGAATGATGGAGCAGGCTGAAAGGATGAATGGCCTACTCATGCTATTAATTTTTTTTATATGTGTTTATGACATGGGAAGGTTTCAGTGACATAGCTAAGAGACATGACACCTGTTGGTGAGCACATTTTAAAAAATGCCAAGCGATTGAGTAGAGGAACCACACAAATTGAAGGTCTGAGAAGGAGCAAGCATAGACTCCAGTTTCTATCCCAGTGTTGCTCGTAAGTCTGGGCACTCCAGACTATTTCACATGATTCCTAAGATACAAGTTTGGCAAGTTTTTGAAACCACTCCCAGATTCAATTCTTTGCTCATTTGAAGGCCTTTGTTCTTTTGGAAATGCTGCAAAGTTGTGCACAGGTTTTCTGTCTCCACAAACAATTGCAGTACAAGTTTGGACATCATTTTGGTTCAAAAATCACAAACCTGGGTGTTTTTATACAGGAGGTTTATAAAATCATGAGGGGCATAAACAAGTTGAATAGCCTTTATTTTTCCTAGGAAGTAGGGCTCCAAAACTAGAGGACAGAGGTTAAATGTGAGTGAGGAAAGATATAAAAAGGACCTAAGGGGCAACCGTTTCATGCTGAGGGTGGTGCGTTTATGGAACGAGCTGCCAGAGGAAGTGGTGGAGCCTTATACAATTACAACATTTAAAAGGCATCTGGATGGGTACATGAAGTGGATGGGTTTAGAGGGAAATGCTGGCAAATGAGACTAGATTAATTTAGGATACCTGGTCAGCGTGGATGCATCAGACTGAAGGGTCTGTTACCGTGCTGTACAACTCTATGACGCTGCTTGGTAAGATAGTACGAATTTAAGTTAATTGTGAATGCAATTAATGGAGAAGTTAGAAGATTTTTCTGCTTCAAATGTAGAATTCTTTGGTTGCAAGCTGTTGTTACTAAACCTCTCCACCTCTCTATATCACTTTTCTTTCAAGACATTCCTTTTAAAATCCTAACTCTTTGACCAAACCTCTGGTTATCTCTCCTATTATCTGCTCACCTGGTTTGGTGCCAAATTTAGTCATATAGCCTCTGCTATGTATCACTTTGGAACGGTTTACAATGTTAATGGTGTCCTATCAATGTAAGTTATTGTTGAATCAGAATATGCAAATAAATTCTTGCAATAGGGATTGGTTACATGAAACTCATCAACAAGGCATGAATCAGGAGTGTGATGGAATACTCCCCATTTTCCTGGGATGGGAGCAGCTCCGATAACACTCAAGAAGCTTGACACCATCCAGGACAAAAGAGAGCACTTGATTAGCACCACATGCACAAGCATCCGCTGTTTCCACCACCGATGTTCAGTAGCAGCAGTGGGTACCATCTACAAGAAACACTGCAGAAATTCACTAAAGATCTCGGACAGCATCTTCCAAATCTACTGCCACTACCACCTAGAAGGACAATGGCAACAGATACATGGGAACACCACCATCTCTAAGTGCCCCCCCAAGTCACTCACCATTCTGAGTTGGACATGTATCGCTGTTCCTTCACTGTCACTGGGTCAAAATCCTGGAATTCCCTTCCCAACAGCATTGCGGGTTTAGCTACAGCACATGGACTACAGCAGTTCAAGGAGGCAGCTCACCACCACCTTCTCCTGAGTAACTAGGGATGGGCAGTAAATGCTGGACC